GATTGTGATAAAGAAAATGGAACGGCGCCTTTCTACGCGACATTGCAATTTCGAGGTCAAGTTAATGTCGGTCGATTTCAGCGTATTCTAACAGAAATTAACGCAGTTTACAATTTGAGGTGTGGAGAAGAGCGGGGACTTGTGGAAAGGACGAGGTTGAAGAACGCTAATTTAGAACCCGGATACTTCCGACATTTTCCATAGTGAACTGTTTCAAGAAATTGTAAACATTTATTTGTGCATTCACGTATTCGTACACTGAAAAGTAATGTGCTTATGATCATACCCTCGACGAAGGAACGCATGTTTTTGTTGTTATGCAAAAGATTCACCGTTTCCTCAAACTTTTTTGGTACTGAACTATGTTACCCTAAGAAAAATGATGCTATATGCACTGAAGATGCTAATTTTACGGGAGGCTGCGCCTTACATCTATTGCTTAAGATATCTTAAATGTCGAGACAAGTAAGAGCTGTTGGGTGGTATCTTGGCGTTTTATTAATTATGCGCTTTTTGGGATATTGCCCAGCGGACGGACCCATGTGATTGACGTCTTGGGTGATTTTGTTCTTCTGTAATCAGTAACAACCTTAAGCTCATTAAACTAACTTTAGATGTGGACGAATCCTGGCTGGCAGCCCCTTAAGACATTGCTAGGCCATGAAAGCAAGGTACTCTCAGTTGCGATATCAAGGGATGGACAGTGGATAGCCAGTTCAGCGTACGATCGGACGTTCAAATTATGGTTTTCAGAGAAATGAGTTCATTCAGCGTACTTGTACATATACAGTTGCACACGTTTATTTGTGAAGTCTACAGCGTTGTCTTCAGTAAATTTTCCGTCGCGTTCATATCATGGTTCTTCCTAATTACTGATTATTATTTTCAGTTTTTATTTTGCGGTTTCTGGCCATTCTTGGTATTTGTTTTGAAGACTCGTTTCATAATGGAGTGTTTCGCAATGCACTTGAGTACCACTGCATTATTATATGCCCCTAGGCTGATATATTTACTTTATTTCGCCAAAGTTATTAGGCGTTCATGCCGTTAAAGTGAATATTAATTCGCAACATTTAAAATTGTTTGTAAGTTAATAAGTAATTCAGTGAACACTCTTCAAGCAATGCGAACCTTCGTTGCCATCTCTAAGAAATTTCAGAATAAGTGAAATAAACCTACCAGCTATAGGTCGGCAGGAAATGTCAAATTTCATTTGGTGCCAGACGTCATTATCAACTCCAATGATCGACTGGACAGTAAACAGTCGACGTAGTCACTTATAGAAAAAAGTTTTTTGCCGTACTAACGGTCTTCTGTCATACAGTTAAAGTGGTGTATCCGTTTCCTGATCTTCTTTCATCACCAGCAGCCTAAATCCCTGCAGGATGGTTTTCGGTAGGTCACTGAGCCGCTTTCGATGCATCAAGTATTGCAGTTGCTGGGTATAGAAGTTCAGTAGTGATACTGAGACGAAAATGTGCAGTTTGTTCCTGTGTGGACGTATATGGTTATGTGTTTGACTGCGTTTCTGAATTACAGTAGTGATTCGCTCCCTTAATCATAGTTACCGTTTTCTGGCAATTTTTCGAGAACGATATCCGGTGGTGTTCTCCTATGTCGAAGTTTGGAAGGTTTAAGCATGAAAAAAGGAAGTACTAGCAGAAATCCATTTAACTGATTGTTGCATTTTTCTGACAGAATTTTTGCAGTTAGCGTTATCAGCATAGGGATAGAAATTTATTAGGCGGAAGCGTGGTGGAGCACCTGCATGGCATTGGATAGTTATATCCAGGCCAGAGGCGTCATTAATTGTCGACGAACCCGTTAGTAAACTGATGAGCCATTCAATCTGGCCAAGGTGGTCTTAACAAAATATTCTTCAAGTAGGTTGTTATTCGCCTTTAACACACTTTTTGTTGTTTTGCTCCAAAATGAAGCACAAAGTAAAGTAAAACTTTGAAACGAAATAGTTAAATGAACTTTGAATTTCTTGATTCCGGGCCCACCGTTTCAAGTATATGTTACTTGAAAGTTCAGTTATGTTGATTTTTGTTTTGAAAAACTTAAACTCCGGTGGTGTGAGTAGCGTTCGCTTCAGTAGGCAGATTTCAGTGCATTATAGGCATTTTATGTGTTGGTAACGGAATTCTGCATTGACTGCAGAATTGATAAAAGTGCATTTGTTCTGAGTATAATGAACACTAGATCAAGATGAATCAGTGTTTAGAATACCTGGTTTTTACAAGTTGAAAATCGGTCAGAAGCGATAAATCTAACGTTTAAACCCTCAGTTTTAACGGTATTGCGATCAGCATCTTAAAATCATTTGAAGGGAAACCAGTGCAGAAAGCAAGTGAGTTTTGTCTCTCTGTTGCAGCGCACCTAAATACCGTTCAGGTCTGTGATGCATTCATTATGTATTGTATAGGTTTAAGTCCTGGACGCTGGAAACAGCGGATACCGGTAACCTTGACGTATTTCGTAGTAGGATAGTCGGAGACGGCTCCTCAGTATCAAGTGGTATGATTTATCACATGCGACTAACGACGTTTACCTGATTGGCTTCCATAACTGAAAGTCCTCCGTCGCAGAAATGAACTGTTTTGTTTTCCGATACGGCTGCCATAAAGTATCCTACCACAGTATCATTGCAGTAACTGTAAACATCATTGCGTCCTGCCGTCGTTTTCCTGGTGGCAGGTTAAATGGCAGACGAATGAAACAAAGTGATTTGTTGTCGAACAGTTCAGTAGCAACGTCTGAGGTCACATTTCATTGCGCAGCGGTCTTTGTGCTGACCATGCGGACTGGTGACGATGAGTTTGTTAAGTGCAGATTAAAATTGTATTGATCCTATATTTACTTTGATTAGATGTTTTAGCGAATTCAGAATGAAACAGTCATGGAGCTAGTAAGGAAAGCAGACAAAGAATCCGTTAGTACACAAGAAGTTGTCGATAACGAATACCGAAGGGAAATCGCTTCAAAACATTTTCTTGCTTTTGATGCTTTTCTGACGTTCAGATTAGAAAAATGTGAATACTACTGCAGTAAACTGCGTTTTTTTTTAAATGAAAATCATCGACCGGTTCTGCCGAATCGTTATTTTCTTATACGTCAGTAACGCATATCTAGGAAGCGAGAAACGAGTCGTTGTTAGCTGGATGGCGCTCGTATAAGACGATTTGCTATTGACTTCTGTTTAGGATTTAGGAAAATCGCAATAATGGAAAGTTGGTTGATGTTTTTTGCAATGGTGATGACTATTGTCATCGTTTTGTACTGTTTGTTTGCAATCAGTCCAAAGGTGCAGTATTTCGTAAAAATGGCCGTGTACATCTTCGATGTCTTGTTGACGACGTTTTTAGTACAGTTTGTGGCTTTTCCTTGGCCCGGCGACGTTGACAATTTCAAGTATGTTACTTTCGACATTTTGTTTGTTCAACGACGTTTTGTTCTTATTTACCTGTTTTGCAGATTTGTAAAGCTGATATTTATGAAATTGGTGTCTTGGATTGATATTCGATGGGAGTTGCGGGGCAAGGAGAATTTGAACGTCGAGGGTCCTGCCGTGCTTGTATGCAATCATCAGAGTTCACTTGATCTTATGGGTAATCACGTTAATCATCGATTGTTAATGTTTTTTCTCTTTAAATTACAGTAAACCTCACTTGCCAGTTGCATATGAAAGGCCGCTTTTTAGGCGAATTTTTGTGATGTGAATGCAGTTCATTTCGAACCTAGCCTATCACACCCATAACTGCAAACAAGACTAAGTAGCTTTTGGCTTCAGTGTTTTTCAGTACAGCAACGGTTCAACAGGGTTGTCCAAAACGTCTTAGCTCGTCAAAATACCATTCACAAAGGCCTCTCAGGCGATGAACTAATTAATGTCCAAATATGGTTGTTCATATAGAGGATATAGATGTAACACGTATTTCGTAGGTGAGTAGCTGTATAAATATTTACCAGATGATGTTGATGTGCAGGTAGATGGACGGTAGATGCCCAAAAGTAAATTTATAGAATAAATGATGAATTCGATTGTGATCCAAATAATGTGCTTTGACAGCTAAATTTGATACAATAATATTTCAAACAAGGCAAGTGCCTCTGTCTTTCAAGCATTTTTCTCAAAAAGATGTTAGAGAACGTGTTGAAAACTTCTAAACGTTGAATTGAGATACACATTGCCACAATCAGTGATTTAGTTTTTATTTTGCGTGTGTACCGATTGCACCTTCCAAGCTTCTGCAAGTTGTCATTTGGATCAAGGGGAGATGCTACCATGAAGTGTAAGCATTAGAAAGCATGGCCATATGAGCCGCAAGCTCATGTATGATCACACCAGAATACCATACCGTCTTCCTTGTTCACAGGTCATTGACTTGTTATCCACTTTTTTGGCTGGTTGACAGGCGTACAGTGAGACGAATTCTTTTGTCAAGGGAATCAGCAGTTAATAAAAAAACTTGGAAGGCTGATCAGTGGTTAATAAGCAAGTGGCTCTCTTTTACGGTTCTAACCCGCTCCTCTAAGATGCAAATCTCGGGGATTTCTTTTGCACCAGTGTTCCCTGATTGAAGTTTATTCAAAATACTGTTCACAGGTGGTCAGAATTCGATTTTTTCTTGGACAAGCTATTTTAAAGCCTAAGTCACTCATTGACCTTTCGTTTTTATGCCCACAACAGAGCTGCAAAGAAGATTTGTTTTAACGCTGAAAAGAAACGACGTACCTAGTTTAGAGCAGCAGTACTTCTCAGCGAATTTTTGCAGAAGTAGGACTCATTGCAGCTCATTTATGATCACTTTGCACTCGCGGGCAAAGACCTATTTTAAAATTATGCCACAAAAACTCTCATAGTCTCGAAAATGAAGAATTTCTCGAAAGGGACGCAATATCTATAACTGCAGTGCTATCAGGCATAAGGCTGTGACGGTAAAGATGTTGCCCTTTTCTTTTATTACCTGAAAGATTTTCTGACAGCTCGAATCAAAACTGTAGACGAAAGTAGCCTTCTTGATTTCTTTTGAAGAAAAAGTGACCTGTGAAGAATTTTTGCTGTCTAACCCCTTTTTTCTCGCACACTTGAGACCATTGCGATGAGGCCTACTCGATAATCGGCAGTACCGGTCAAAAGTAATCGTTTCGATGAGTGGTCCTTATAGAGAGTTTTTTGGAAATTAGATCTTGATTGTTTG